GTTGGTTAAGAGAACTAAAGCCATCTCATAAAAGACTGAATAGACCAACTACTAAAAACATTTTAAAATCGTAAATCTATGTATGAATAAAGCATATAATATTTTGTACGATTTGTTTGGAATGTTACAAGTAGACCCAACATTATGTGTGAAGAGATACGTGTAATATGTATTGATAATTAGTTCTAGGATAATGTGAAATGTTAATAAATGTAATGACATACATGTAAATACATGTTTTAGGAGGTGTAAGCCACAAAAGTCTTGACTTTTGTTGGTTATCAGTGCTAGCATGGTTCCAATAATAGTTGATGATAATTAAGTGTAAATCACAACCGATATATACTCATTATCTACCTTAATGCCCGTTCTAGACATAGTTGATAAAAAGAATTAAAAGATAAATTTTATACATGTTTAGACTAAAAGATAGTTTGATATCTATTCGGCATAGAAGGAGGCATCATGCATCCATCAAGTAGAATTAACTTCTAAGGTTTTATTGTTGTATGGGTCCAAAGTAGGCTTTTGGAACTACTTACTAGTTGTTGTCTGACATTATTTCACTACTTCTTTATTTGCAACTTTTGGCTAGGTAAAAAAAACTCAAAAAAGAGGAGCAAACATTGATGAAAAAACATTTTATATGTTATAATAAAATGAGCTCAAACTATAAGTATTGATCAGACTGCATACTTTTTGGCGAACTAAGTTAAATTGATATCATTTAGATGATCTGCGAGTTTGTACAATGTTGTTCATCTACTTGTGATGACGGAAAAACTAACATCCTTAGCAAATATAAGTGAGTGTTTCCTTTTCCATTCGTAATACCCTCCATTCAAAAATAATATAGAATAAGATTAAGAATTAAAAATATTAGAAAATAATTTTCAAGCCCAATGCTAAAGAAGAAAAAAATCCCAATAAATCGATCAAGATCGATATCTTAAAAATCATATGAAAGATTACCGATCTAAAAAAATCATAACTCATCTTTCTTGATACACTCTTCTAGCATCAATACAGAAATATTCTAACATAAAGTTTATCAAGTTCATACAAAAAAGGTAATTATATTTTTATGTTCTACATATGCTTAAAAAATGTTATCTTATTTCATTAAATATTCATATGCCACTTTATCCACACACAAAAAGAATTCATATGCTTGCATAATTCCAATTTTAATGTGAATGTCTCCAATTAAAAGACGAAATGTTATATTTACATCAACAAAAACCCATATCATATTGATCTTCTTGAATGATGTCTCAAATCAACAAAAAAACAAATCACCTTAAACAAATCTTACTTTATTTTATTAAGGATTCATATGTCACTTTATTCTGCATAATTCCAACTTTAGTGTGAATGTCTCCTACTAAAAGACGAAATGTTATACTTCCATAAGTAAAAACTCATATCATGATTTGTCTTATTGAATAACGTCTCAAATCAACAAAAATGCAAATCACCTCCACAAAATTCTAACTGAATAAAGAGGAGGAATTGAGAGATTATCATAGAGGTATACCATGAAAAGAAGATGAAAAATTATAACCAAATATAAAGAAATAATGGGAGTTAAAAGAACAATAATTAAAGAGAACATAAGTAGGTTGAAGTAAACCTAATGAAAGAGTCTTAAATGTGAATATCAAAAATCAAAAATAAATATTAAAGTGAGAGAAGCTTGAGAAAAGAAGAAAAATGATAAAGCACTTTCTGGTTATGAGAAGAGGCCAATCTTTTTTTCAATAGATATATAGATAAGAGGAACTAGGTATAAAACTTGGAATATTCCTACATCCATTATCTTTTTATTTAATAGTTAGACTTATCTAAATGCTTTTATGTAACATTGCAGATAAATCGTATCAGATATTGTTTGTTTAGTCTATATTTGAATTTACAGTTAATAAATGCATCTTGTAGAGGAAGTATCCAATCACTTATAAGCCAACCTTTGTTCCCCTTTCTGATCCATGTGAAATCTTCCATTGTAGATTTGCATTACCTAAATTTAGTTTAAGTGTATTCACAATTCAAATGATTTCACTTTATAGATCTGTACAAGCAACATTTGCAGTTTTGTAATTTGTATATTATCGACGAGTTAGGAGGTTGGATTGTGTTAATTTGGATCAAACCAATTTCAACTCTATCAATTGGTTGTTGGACGATATAAATCAAGTGTTGAGATGATATAAATCAAGTGTTTGGCAAAATTTAGTTATTATTTTGATTTTTTTTAATCATATAAGGTCAACAAAATAAGATTTTGAAAAGTAAGTAACAAATAAAAATAATAATTATTAGGACAAATATAAAAGAAACTGACCGAAATGTCTATTGCTCTTTCATTAATTGATCTTCCAATTAATCATTTCTCGGTTTTACCTAAATGTCACTACTTCCGTAACTTGCAGATGTAGTTAAAACATAAAAAAAGTTTACAATATATACTCAAGTCTGCAAATGACACCTTCCTAACTTATGGATCTGTACATAAATTGTGAAGGTGCCACTTTCAGACTTGGGTAGAATTTGTAATTTTTTTTGTTTTTTTGTTATCTCTACAAGTTAGAGAGGTGTCAAGAATAACAGGAGACTAATCTATGTGAAACGAATGACCGTTTCGGTCCATTTTTCTAAAGTATAAATTCATTAACTATCAATAACTTTAAACTGGTATTTAAACATGTAATAATTACTTTTTTTGGAATAAATAAAACAAATAACTTGTTAATAAATAAAAAATAATATTGCTCCATACACATTATGTTGTCCGTACAGCAAAAAACTTGCAAAGTGAGAGCACGAATTTAGCGGTTTCGGGGTATTTAATAAGGGTACTGAATATATACTTATTATTTGCTGGGTAAAGGAGAAAATCCATATTTTAAAAAAAATGTAAGAATATTTTTAAAATATTAAATTAATATTTATTAATTATCTATAGTTATCTTAAATTTGTGATTATTTCTTAAATATTATTAGTATCATCGAATCATCAAGGAAATTTTATGTTAATTCTTCATTGTCAATAATGATGTGATTTTGTTGTGATGATGTTTTAATAAATTGAAGACTTTTTATTATGTAATTTTGCTGTGATAATGTTTTAATAAATTAAAGACTTCTTATGATGTGATTTTGTTGTGATAATTATTTGATTTTGTCATGATAATGATGTAATAAATCAAAAACCTGTATGTCCATAATCATCGATACTGTTTGTTTATTACGTGATTTGTAACTGATATTCTTAAAAAAAAAGTAAATCGATACTATATTATAAAGTAATTGACAAAAACTCTTGAAAACCATTTTTTATGCGTAAAGTATTGTTTATTAATGCATATTACTTAAAACTCAATATTGCAAGTAGATTGTGTGTAAATACAACTTATTAAAGCTTCATATCTGAATTCATGTAACTAACTACAAATAAAAATAATCAAATACAGGATAAACATCTCATTTTAAATATAAAAAATATAAAAAAATATAAAATATAATTAGGATAATCATTAGTTCTAACAGAAAACTTAATTATTATCTTTATAAAATGTTATATTATTAAWCMAAAAATAAATTATTTCGTTATTAAACTTAAATTAAATTATAATAAAAAAAAATAAATTAAAGAAATTACATAAAAAATGAGAACTTTTAAACAGTTGATTTGATATTAACATTGATATTTTTTTTTCAAAATTTTATAATATATTCAAGTTTATATTTTATTCAAAAATAAAATCATTATTGCTTTCTTAAAAACATATAAAATCATATTATAACATCGACAAAGACAAATAATAAAATAAAATATTAAAATCGAGATATATTATGCGAATATTTTTCTAGTATTTATTATATATTTTACTATTATATTCCTTCCAAAACATGAATTAAAACAAAATAATTAACTCACATATTTATTAATATCAAAATTTACTTTTTTTATATTTTCTAAAACATTTTTTATATTGATTAAATAATTTAAAGTAGTTTAATGAACAAATATTTTTTTTTTTTGAAAAGTTAAACACAATATTATATATATATATATATATATATATTTAATATATATTAAAAAATAGTTACGGTCAATTTATTGGAGGTAGGGAGAGTGACATGCTATAACGCGGTTCTGAGTCGTGGTTTTGGCGGCAGTAAGGTTCATATTACCAGCCTGTATCTCCTTCGTTAGTCAACATTTTAATTATAGTTTCAATATTTTTTATTTTATTATTAAAATTAATAAATTTATCTAATTGACCGGGTTAAAAATATTTGAATAACCCAACTTAATGTTTATGGTTTAAATCTTAACTCAACACAAACAAAAGCTAAAAGTCAATTTGATATCGAATAACTTTGGATTAGATTGAGTTATTTCGAATAAAAATAATTTAAATTAATTTTTTATAATTAATAATGAATTAAGTTCTATAAAAGTAATTATAAGTAGAAGATACATATTAAATATAAATGATATAAAAAGCATTAAAATTTAAAAGAAAATGAGTAGGTGACAGTGACAGTGACCTCGAAGTTATGACTTTCTGCCAATAGAACTACAACATATCAAATTTTGAATATGTCAATTAATAAAACCAAAATTTGTCCCCACTTCTTTGTTTGCTTATAAACCATTTTTTCTGTTTTAAATTAAGTATTATTACTTTTAATAATATGATTTTAAATGTTTTTTTTTTAAAACGTCCAAATTATGTATTATTAAATGAAGGAGTATAAACGGGGAACACAAGGAGGTAAAATGGGTGGCCTAAAAAAGCACTGGGTTTCATTAAAAACATGAATTTTGTTTGGTAGAGGATATTTCATCTTGGTCCCCTACTCACCAAACAAATTGGGTGAATCCAATTTCTATTTTATTTTTATTTTTATTTACGTCTCTAGAAAAATCGATATCTAATTATCGTAAAATTGATTCGTACACAGTTTTGTTAAGAGTGAACTCGATTTTAAATACATCATCTAATCTTTATATCCAATTATGTTACATTTTTATGATGTAAAAAAAATAAAGCACTCACCACAATCAAAATGCCTATAAATGTAATTCTATATCTACTCTACACAAACACGTCCGTACACCCTGACCCGATTTGATCCATCTCTTGGAAGAGTACAACCCGACCCACTATTTGAACCTTGACCTGCTTGGATCCGATGGTCAAAGGAGTCAAACACTTGACCCCACTTGTTCAAAGGTCCATGCCAAGCTTTTGACTTGCTATGTCACACCTAACCTCGGCAAACCCGACCCGAGAGTTTGCAAGATCAAATTCCATCCATATATTTTGCTGATGGTGATGTCCAATCACGTACGCTTCGATCCCGAGAAGATCAGAATTACCGAATGTGAAGCAATGTATGTGATCATTCCCTTTAATCAAACCGGGTACTTGAACCAATAACCGCTCGCCCGAAATACTCATTTGGGCGCCCCGAAACATCATGGTAACACTCGGTAAAACAGGTAACCCGACCGTTTTTTGGTCGATACGGTAACAGAGGTCCATTGCACCTTGGAAAACAAAATCCGGATCTTCGTAGACCCGTAATACCGTTTTGGTTTGTTTCAAGAATTCGTTTTTCAAAGCGGTGTAAACGGGTCCGAGAACGAAGGTAAACTGGGTACCCGAGTCTACCATGGTTTGACCCGCACCGGTGTGATCGGGTACGTATACGGATTTTGGTAAGGATAGAACCGTACCGGCAACTTTGATGCCCTCTAGCTGAACCGTGTAAGCAACCCGGTCGAAATACGGTAACGGCGTCGATATATTGACTAACGGCGTGTAGCTTAACGGCTTGAGCCAAGAACTCTTGACTTCTCCGAACAGTAAAACTCCGGTGGAATCCCGACCAGATATGCAATACGAGAACTTGGGAAAACCCATTTGGGAAACCAAGGATAAGGACCCCCGGTTCATACCCAGTAACCCGGTGGTTTTGGAATCTTCATCTTGGTTGGAGCTGGAACCGGAGTCCATGCATCCGAAAACGATTCCGGGAAGGTCCGAATTGGTGAACCGGAAAGTATCATAGGCGAGATTTCCTTCAACGGAGGTGGCATCGGCGTAGGAGACGATGGCGTGGCAGAGCTTTTTCCGGTCACAGGAAACGGGTACTGTGAAATCTCGGGTTCGGGTCCTGCAAGTTGGGGAGGAACAAGGAACAGGGGTGTATGAGGTAGAACGTAGTGGGTCGTACCATAAGGGTGTGGCGGGAGTTTTTTTACAGCGGAGCCATGAGAGCTCACTTCCGGTGTCAAGGACGACGGTAACTTGCTGCGGCGGAGATCCGACAGTGAGGGTGACTGTGAGAGTAACATTATGGTGAAAAGAGAGCTTATCTGGAGAAGACCCAGGTGGGATAGATTGAATCTTGAGAGGTAAGATTAAGTTGTTGGAATAAATGGGTTGGAAAAAGAAGCAGAAAAATAGGTTATAAAGGAGGAGGAGGTAAAGAGACGCCATGGAAGAAAGGGATTTAATTTGGTGCAGAGTGCAGAGTGATGGAGGGGATATGGGTTTTGAGTTATATAGTGATGGAGGTGTACGTGTGTTGTGGTTTTGAGGAGTTTGGACTTTTGGAGGGTCGGTGTAGGCCCCGGCCTGATTTATTTTACGATTGTTACTAGTACCCTTTTTATTGTTAAAATCGAGTCAATTCATATATTGATAATATAAAAAGTGAGATTTGATATTGATATGTGTGAAAAGGAAAATATTAAAAGTTTGTTTGTTTACCTTTTAATAATTTCATTAAAAGACAATATCTGAATTGTTAAGAGCTGAATCTTGTTTGAAAAAAAATATGTCTCTTAATGATTCTAAAACCCTCTGAATGATTTTGTATCATCTGTCTCTCTTAACTATTAAGAGCCTTAATTTCATAGTAAACAATTATCAAATAATTATATTCCATTTTGCATAATATCATGAGAAACCTCTTAATCATTCTAACCACTTAATGATTATACACAAAATCATTCAACAACTGTCAAACAACCTTAGTAAAAGATGATTTAACAATGTATAAGAGTGCAAATAGTCTCCACCTTCATTTTCCATCTTGCGATTGTCTTTAGCATCTTGGTCCACAACCTACACCAATGCTACTCCTTAAAAAGCATGTTGTTAAATAAACTTTTTCTTGTGTGTTAAATTGAATTCATTTGTTTGTTATAAATGTTAAAAGGAAGATATAAATGAGGATGTTGATGTATGTGAGTATAGAAATTGTAAGAAATTCATTTTGTAAGTAGAAGGGGAATCATATAGAATTATCTTTTAAGGATGTCAATACATACATATATAGGGGCAGGTTCAAATGAAAACCATGCAATTCTAAGAAACCGTGTAAACCAATTTCGACAAATAGAAAAATTTCATTTTTTTTAATTAAATTTAATCAATAAGGGTATTTCGGTCATTTTCCATATTTTTTTTCGATAAATAAGGAAGTTATTAATAAATATTAAATAAGAAAATTTAATAATGAAAATTATATAAATGGTAACATTTAAAATTTTTATTATATTATAATATTAAAAACTTGATTTTAATTTTTTGTTATTCAATGAATCTGGAAACGTGGTATGAATCTGGAAACGTGGTATGAAGATTCTAGCTTCTTATGGAATGAAATCTTGATTTGAGGTTGGAGGAAAAAAATCTCATGCTCATGAAACTGTTTCAATGTGAAAAGGTTTCATTGTAAAATGATTTATTTGTTTCTTCTAGGCATATTGTACATGTTAATGAAATAGGTTCATGATGGTGAAAGATGTTGATGCTCTAATTGATTCATGATTCATGATCTAGTTTCATGGTGATCCATGTTGCTTTGTGATTRAAGTTGATYCGTTTAGTTGGTAGGATGAAAATGAAACGGGTGCATAATGTATTTTGTTCTTTATGAAATAAATGTATGATGAAACAGGTGCATATTATATTTTGTTCTTTATGAAATTAATTTTTATGAAAATGTGAAAATGTTTCAATGTGAAAATGTTTCATTATAAAATGGTTTATTTGCTTCTTCTAGGCATATTGTACATGTTAATGAAATAGGTTCATGATGGTGAAACATGTTCATAAACTAATTGATTCATGATTCATGAACTAATTGATTCATGATTCATGAACTAGTTACCAAATGTTTCTATGTTCATGTTCTAATTGATTCATGATTCATGAACTAGTTGCCAAATGTTAACTTTTGTTTACCAATTTTGCCCTTAGTATTGAAATAAAATAAAATTTTAATATTTTTTATTTTTTAATTTCCTAAAATAAAGTAAACTAATCTTAGCCATTGATCAAGAAAATGGATAGATGAGATTGGTTTACACGGTTTACACAAATGAGCAAGTTTTTATTTGAACACTCATCTACATTATATATATATATATATATATATATATATATTATATAGAGAGAGAGAAAGAGAGAGAGACAAGTTCAAATGAGAACGGTAACTATTTAATAAACAAGAGTTCAAATAAGAACTAGGAGAAATAAATTACAATCGTACTTTAACATGGTAAGTTTAAATGATTGATGGGATTCTATTTGTTGTGGCTATAAACTATTCATCGGTCGGTTTTGGTAGAGGACCAACTTCAATTCACCGTTGCCACACATTGTTCGTGTATGGTTTCTTATTTCTTTAGTTGTCATCTTAGCAACATTAGTTAGGGAGCATTTGATTCGTTTTATAAGAACTGAAATAGAAATAGGAATAGGTATGATAATTGATGATAAAGACATTCCCCAACAGTTTACAAGAATATGAACATTGAACCAAACATCATTACTCCATTCATCCTCCTCTAATATCTCCACCAAACACCCCTTAGTTTTTAAATGTGATCCAAACTATCATCTTGGCCACCACATCTCCAACAGGTTTCGTGAATTAACCTCTACAACCCCACATTAGCCTCGATCTGGATCAATGACTTTCACGTGTACCATCATTTTGAGTTGAGTTTGATTATTAGTAGGCTTTAGGGGGTGTTTGGGATTGCTTATAAAAGCTGTTTTTTAACTTATTTCAGTCAGTCACCAGTGATAAGCTGTTTTCTGGTGTTTGGATAAGGAAAAAAAACTGCTTATGCCGGTGCCAAACCGGTAATAAGCTGTTTTTGATAAGTTAATCCTTTATGACTTATGAAAAACTGTTTATTACCAGTTTACAATTTTAACCATGTTTTATTTAACTTCGGTTTGATACCACATAAATTAATAAACATTTTTACAAAAAAAACATAAGTTGTTTTAAATAAGCAATCCCAAACACCCCCTTAGTCTTTATTCTTTTGATTCTAGCCTTAGAATCTCGGACGAAACAGTATTTTATGACTATGAAACAGTGAGGAATCAACTGATGTTTTAAATAATAATTCATGTGATTATTTTACTTTCAAGTAAGTCTTTGTAAAAGCTAGGTAATAACCAATTATTGGTTTAATGTGTATATTTTAAATTATGATAGGATTTGTTGTCATTTAAAAAGGTGATGGGAGCATGTATGAATGACTGGATTCAACTTTGATCTAAAGATTGTGATATTGAAATTTATTAATTACATTGTTGTATTATTAAAAATATAATAATGAATAATTTTAATTAAATATAATATAGATATATTAATGCATAAATGACAAAAAAATTGTCTTTTTTTAAAAAAAAAATCTATAATTTATGTCTTTTTGATAATATTTTTATTTATTTTTTAATTTATAAATAGATAAGAATCGTTCTATTCTAAATATAGGAATAAGATGATTATTATACTTATGTTCATATTTTTAAGAGAAATGAATTACATGAAAAACGAATATTATTATTTTTCATTTAAAATAAAAACAGAAATGAAATGTAAATTACAAAAATCATCTCTTAAGTTTGATGAAATAAATCGTATCCTTCTGGCATAAAAGGAAATTAGAAAATGAAACAAACGCGTTAATTAATATGGTGGCACAACATATAAATAAGATATGTTAAATGCATCTTTACGTATAATTTCTTTATCATACATCAATATCAAGACTTAACTTTTACATTCATAATGCATGATTTGATTTAATTCCGCTATAAAAGGGTAACTGAAGCAATCCATTTTGAAAACGCTTAAGAAATAAAAAAATAATTTAAATCAAAGATAAGACGATGGAACAAGGAACTCAAAAGGTAAATGTTTTGACAACCATGTTTTATGGATAGTTGATTTTGATGTTTAGCTTTGTTATCATTTTTTTTTTTTTTTTTTTTTTTTTTTTTTTTTTTTTTTTTTTTTTTGTGTTTAGATGATATCAATAATTATCGTACATATACTTTTAAAGTCCACAAAAATTAGACTCAAGAGTATCGATGGATACGTAATTATCGATATTTCAACATGTTATATAAAATTATAATATTATAAAGATATTTTACTGGGAGTCGATTTAATCCAAAAGACGCAACTTTAGAGCTCTTGTGAGCATTAAACATCCATGTAACAATCAAAGGTTCTACCGAGCTAGTAGTATGATGGTATTTGTAACAGTTATGCTATAATTTTTTAAAATAAAGTACTAAAAAAGTTAAATTTTTGTAAAAAGTTAAATTTTTGTAAAAAGTTATATCCAACTTTAATAACTACTTTATTTTAATAATTCTATCATTGACTATGGGCTTGTTTGTTTTTTTGAAAAAAAACCACTTAATGCCTCTTAAGTCTGAACCGGTCAGACGTTTTTATTTTCAGACCGTTTATTTTTTTATATAAATAAGAGCTGAAAAGCTCTTAATTTGCTCTGAAAAAAAAGTGATAACATAATCACTTAAATCCTCTTAATCGCTCCCTCCAGACTCTCCCCTCTATCCTCACCTCCAGATTTGGTCCTCCAAATCCATCTCGCAAGACATTCGATCTCCAAATCAATCACGACCCAGATCGATCCACATATTCTCGTAAAATCATGACCCAGATCGATCCAAATCTATCAGATCCAAAATTTGACTGATTCAGATTTCAGATTTCAGACGTAAAAACAAACAGTCTGACTGATTCAGATTTCAGACTTCAGTACCACCTCTTAAAATTCAGAAGTGAAATCAGACTTCAGACTTCAGAACCTCTTAAAAAACAAACGCCACCTATATTATTAAAACATTCAGTACTTTTAATAAAATATTATTTCACTCTTCTAAACACTTAATTTCAATGTCTCCAATTGGTGAAAAATAATTTAATATTATTGCTACCTCTTAAATACGAAGTTTTAGTGATTTCTCCATGTTTAAGGATTTCTACAATCTTTATCTTCTTTTCTCTTTTTTAGCATATGTTATAACATAGTTGTAGCCTTGTAGGGGTGAACATGGTATGATACCATGCATTTTTCCTCAATACCGTTTAGAAACCAATTATAATTTGGTAAGCCAATATTTATACAATGTACCAACGAAATCTACTGGGT